GGTTGCTGCAAACGACGCCATAGCCCCGCATCGTGGGTTACAACCTTCATATGAAGATTTTTATATCCACACTCTGAAGAAGAAACTGCTGAGCATTTTTCCCGTGGTTATACTTCTGTCGAAGCGTCGTGGCTGTGCGGTGGTTATTTGGCAATATTGGGCTGAGCCATAATTTCTGGCCGAATTTCGCCACTTTCATTTCATTGAGTTTTTTCTTTCCTGGAGAATAACTGATCAACAATATAACCACCTTCGCAATCGCTGATATGCATTCATTTGCTAGGCAGCGAATGGATGCATTCCTCTCAAAACGAGTGGAGCTATGGGATGAAGAGTTCGGAGAGGTCGTTTTTTGGGTGGTTGTATTCAGTGACCCCTTTCTCTCGAAGGTACTGCTTCAGGGCATCGAGAAGGGGATAGTGCGATGAAGTAATGTTAGGGCTATACGATAGATGTGGTATCGCGATCCGAGCCAGTTTCCCTCAGAAGGTGGCGAGTTATCTTCGCAATGTAAGGTCGGGCGTTCATCCGGAGGAAGGTTGAGCGATTAGAATTTCGATTCCTACTTACTTATTCCACTGCCCTTTGACCTTCTGGAACATCCTAGTTTAAGGTACTGATGCCTCCTTCAACATACTAACTTATTTCGTAATGACACTAATTTGACATGAAGAAAATTGATTCTGAAAAAATTCGGCCAGGAATTATGGATCAACCAATATTATAAGCAGCAATGAGCAAGATGGACTGGAAAGTTCTGTCTCTGTGATACTAGATAAAAAGCGACTTTCATAGCGACATGGTAGAAATCTGAAGAGCAAGTGGACGACCTAACCCATGCCGCATTATTTCACCACGAATTGAAAGATAATTATCAAATTTACACGGAGCTACGCCGTTTTAAACTCCTGTGTCCCTGGACAGCATGGCAGGTTCTGCCAGCCGTACGATTTGAAACATTAACAAAGAAAGAGCGTGAATTCACCTATGATGGGCGAGATGTAGAGGGTGACCAGAAACAGTGGAGCTACAACGTAGAGGTTGGGTATCGACGGCAAGATACCACGATATTCCGTAGCATTCCTGCAAAGTCACAGTAAGCTAATAGCAAGAAAAAATCAATGAAAATCGAGAGAGAACAGGTTGAAGAGGAGGTAACTACTTGATAAACTCGATTTAGTTTCTCCAGTTCGCAACACGATGCGATCGGGCTGACAAACTCGTTAAATAACACAACATTTGACTTTGGAGCTGTTTAGAACATTATGCAAACGTTAATGAGAAGCGGCCAGAAGGACAAAGGACAAAGTACGCCGTCGATTCGCCGTTGATTCATCAGCTGGTCTTTTTGGAAAGCGGCATGCATTCTACTCCATTTTGTAGATACAGTGCGTTTCAAAAGTATGTGCACACCCTCAAAATTCACGTTTGAAAGGGAACCATGAGGTTTCGTGCTATGAAATCCTTCTCAATCGATTTCTCGTAGTCGATAACCTATCAATGGAAGCAAAGCAGATAATATCGCCTCACTTTCGAAAAAAAATTTTGGATGAAATTTTTTTCTTTGTTTCAAAAGTATGTGCACACTTAACAAAAGACAAAAACATAGCTGAGATTAGAAATCAGTGGGGCCTCCAGAGTTTCTAATTAGCTCAAACATCCTGTCCGGCATAATCTGAACCACGTTTGGCATAGCTGTTTCGTCGCTGTCGGCCCAAATAGCCTCTACCGCCGCCTTCAGTTCATCCGCGGTATTATACTGCCGGTTGCTAAAGTTAACGCCTTGATCAAGGGCTCCCTATAGGGTTGCAGTAAGGAGGACACACAAGCCAATCTATCGCTTCAGCACCATTTGGTTAAGGCCATTCTTTGGTAGATTGCGAAGCATCGAAAGACACGTGGTCCTGTTGCTAAAAATGCAATTTTCGCTCCGCTTCGCTAAGGAAGGGCAACAGGTGACATTGGAGCACTGCTTGGTATTCTTTACAGTTCATACGCAATAATGGAACGGCAACTTCTGAATTTCCGCTGATTGCGAAACCGCCGCAGACCCATCAACGGGCCTCTTCCGAAATTCCTTCTCGAGAGCACGAGCGACTCACGGCCAAGCCTCTCCAGTAGTAGCAAAATCCACCCGGCCCGTCAAGATCGAACTCTTTCCATGAGTTAAGATTACCTGAGGAGAGAAAGTCCATAAAAAGTTGCTTGTTTTGAAAATAGGAAATTCTCGAAAAACCGTGTCTTCGCCCGGTGTCCTATCCTATGTTGCCATGTCTGTACGAGCAGACTCCAATGTGGCTAACTTGTGCTGGGCCTTGAAGTGAGTAGCCTTTCTCAGCGTCTGTCGAGTGGTGTATTCATTTGAGCGGATGAGGGGCTTAGTGGTCATTTTCGAGGCTGGAATAAAAATCTGAGCTCGGACTGTCAATGAAGAATCCGACAGGATGTGGGCTACTCTTTTGTTGTTCTGAGCAGTCAAGGATCGTGGATGGAGCGGAGTGTGTGCTGAGTATAATTATCAGGGTGCCAGATAAATCTTCGAATGCATTAAGGAGAACGACCAAGTTATCGTGCGATTTCTAGATTGGAACGTTCATTATCATGCAGAACCTTGATCTGAGCTTGCTCATCTTCAGGAAGAAGTATGGCGCGAATTGACATGATGACGAAATGAAAACAGCAAAGTCGGATTGAAATCGGTGGAAAATTCGGCGCCAAAATCTGATCTTCTTCAAGTGTGCACATACTTTTGAAACAAAGAAAAAATTTCATCCAAAAAATTTTTTCCGAAAGTGAGGCGATATTATCTGCTTTGCTTCCATTGATAGGTTATCGACTACGAGAAATCGATTGAGAAGGATTTCATAGCACGAAACCTCATGGTTCCCTTTCAAACGTGAATTTTGAGGGTGTGCACATACTTTTGAAACGCACTGTAGTGGCGTTTCATGCGAGTGGCGCTATAAAATGAAGATGCGGAGGCCAGCCGAAGTCCAAGGCAGTGTTTTTATCCTCTCAGACAAGTCTCGTACCAAATAACCGACCTCGAAAGAATAAGCATTGGAAGAATTGGTTGGTCTGAACGACATAAGACCCAGGGTTCGATTCACGGAGCACGTGCGTGGTAAACAAATCCACTTGCCACTACCATCACTGCCGCCCAGGAGAAGTGGCCTACTTTCTCATGTATACACAACACTTCACGACTAGGTCACAGAACCGATCCCTGCTCCATAACAGCAGCATTAGTGCTGTCTTCGACATGAAGCGTTCGAAATTTCGTCGGGATAATAGCGTTGCATCCATGGTCACCTCTTCTTTTGCGTCTCGCTCGTCCGCGCGTTTTTCTCTCCCAGCCCAATTCCTAATCTGGGCGTCCAGTCTTTAAGACTCTGTGTCTCACAAGCCTCAGAAGAAGGTTCTTATTCAGAATGCTAGAAGATCCTTTTTTCCCTTTACGTCGCGCGTGCAGACAATTGAAAACTAATGATTCTTATGAGTTAAAGGCAAAAGTCGGGCTCAATAAGGGGGTATTATGGCGATTGAAACTGAGTATAGAGATGCGAAGTGGAACGACAGTGGAGAAAAAACTGAGAAAAACCGTCGACAAGGCCGTTAACAAAACCCTCTTTCCCACTAGCAGTGAAGGAGGCTGGCTTGGGAAACAAGTTTTCTGGAGATGTCAGTCGTTCTATCGGTTGATACGGCAATCAACCTAGCTGATTTCACACGTTATGCCAGCCACGCACCACTTCCGGAGGTGGGCGGTCCTGGATTGACCAGGCGGCCCTGGATTGAAACCGAACGCCCCGGGGCCTTAACGGGTTTTTCAAGGTGGAAGTTGCTGCAATGTGTGCAGCTACCCACATACAACCTCCAGGCACGGGAATTACTTCTCTAGCGTGCCTGAGCCCGACCTTTGCCTTTAAGTGCCATTCAACACTTCTGACAGCGCGGAATGCTGCGTCGAGGAGACGTGGTGCTAAGGGCCCGCTTGGAGTTGGAGGAGGCATAGTAATCCAGTAGCTGGGGAGCAGCCTCAAATTAGAAGTAGCTGGGCATTAAGGCGTTAGGTTGGAACGGCTCAGAGGAGAACCACTCACGTTATCCATTCCAAAGAAATTGTTGATGTATAGCATATTTCTCCACCAGTACTTTTGGCAGGCCTCCGCGCCGGTGAGATCTCCTTGCCTGGATGCTGTCCATGGTCCAGTTGTAAATGGTGTCACAACGGTAAAGAATCCTATGAAAATCATCATAGGAGGTGTAAGCCTGAAATGACCGGCACTTTGATCAGATTCAGTGGATGTTCCGATAGAATCAAAAACCCACCTCAAATAGCGATGAACATAGAACATAACCCAAGTGAGCGGGTTTCTCACGAACTTCGAAGATGGCCTGACTTTGAAGAATAAATAGGCGACGAGAATCCCAGAAAGTAAAAAGAATGTGTCAACGGATAAGAATGCGTTCGTGAAGGCAGTTGACAACAGCGGATTCCACAGCGAAAGGACTGGCAGTAAACTGTCTAAAAGAAGACGGTTTTCTTCAGGGAACACGAAGATGGCTTTCTTTTCTTACCGCTCATAGCGTTCTGTCCGAGAGCATGTCCTGCGGCTACCCATGTCATTGAGATGAATCGAATTGAGGCCAGTGAGCGGAGAGTCCCTTCTTTTGGTGATCGTGTATCCAAAGCAAAGCCGCGTTTGTGTAGAACGAAAACGTCAGGAAAGGCGGAATCACTGAAGAGGTGATTCCTTCCGTGAAAAGTAACGGGATAAGAGACACATGATACTGGTCACAGTGGAACTGACGCGCCAGAAAGCCAACACGACTGGGCCACTAACAGTTCGGCCAACAACACGGCCAACACGGAATCCCCGTCCAAGTCTAATCATAACAAGCGTTTTGGCTTTTTTTTGCTCAGCATTTCGCAGAGCTCTGAGTCAATTTGCTTGTTCGGGCCCCAAAATTGGACTGACATTTGGACGAGGAAAGTCGGGGGGAGAGATGGAGGGGAACCAAAAATCCTTCCTGAACATTTGCAGCGGAGTTAACTGCACTTTACTAAATACAAACAGAATGGCCTAAACTGGAAATTGGAGAGTAAGTTCGTATCTACTAGAAAGCCTCATAAAGGCCCTCTAGAATTAAAGGCAAGCCCGAGAATCAGTACAATTTAGCGAAGGATATCGCAGAGGGAAACTTGTGGGCGCCATAACCGACGAAAGATAAAGACATCTTTATCGCCTGAGTTGCGCGTTTAGGGTTCCACTCCTTACGGGCCTGCACCATCGCCCCCGTTGTGGTGTTCTCCACCCACCGAGGTTGATGTAGGGATCGAGCGGGCTCTTGGAACGGCGTCGCTCATTCGCCTTTTTTTGTATCTTTGATCGCACCTCATCTCGCCGGATCCGGACCACACTGAGCTTAACTAAAGGGTATGACCCTGATTTAGCAAAAATTTACCATATAATTTTCGGACTTCCCATAATTAAAATCTAGTTTTCTTTCGTTCCACAGCCCAATCAAATCAATTACCTCTAATACAGCTATCTAATACACCAACTTCATAATACACCGGGACTTGATCTAAAGGGATATAGAAGAATCTCATTTACATTGCGTTTCTCGTAGTTTCAAACTATCGTCGAACCGTAAGTTCCTGTATGTTATTGCGACTTGGATGAGTGCATATCCAAATAGTAGTCAATGATGCTCGCGAGAATGGCGCACACCACAAAGAACGCCATAAAGCTCCTAAAATATGTTTATGTTTTTGTGTTGATGTTATAGCCGTCACGAAGACATGCCGTTCCTTCTAAAGGAAGTGCTCACATGAAAATCCAGAAAGCGGTTGTAGGCTTGACGCTTGTCGGTACGCACTTTGCTGATGAGAACTCTATTGGCACAATCTGCTCTTTTATAATAGTCCCAAGGAGAAGGGGAATGTCCTAAAAGTCACACATTAAGAATCGCCTAGCGGCGGGGAAAAAGCAAAAATGAATTTCTCTGACGCAGACGAGTTAAAGGGTGAAAGGAAAGAGCGGTCACGCCGGATCTCTGGTCATGGAAAAGGTGAAACTGAAATCGCTCACCTGTTCATTGCAACTCCTCGGCATGCAGGTGGCTACATTCATTCCCATCTGTCCGAGAGGACCATTAGTCTGCAAAGTCAGGAAATCTCCTCATTTTCCCCAATTTAGTTCATGTAATTTATTACGTCCTTAGTGAATTTTGAGGCTTATCCTTATTTTTATCTAGGGGAGTAAATAAACTGATAGTAAGGAATTGATCGATGAGTATGTCTCCTATTATGACATTTTTTGTTCTTATGTCCGACAAGAACTAGAAAAGTGAAGTTTTTATCACAATCGATCAGCTCCTTCGATCTTCATAAAGAAGTTAGTGATGTTTTCGGGCTACCCGACAGGAGGCCACTTTGGGCGGCGAGAAGGCAGAGAATCAACGGGTCAGCGGACGAGTTGCCTCGTGCACTGTAGCGTTCAGAGTGAAGCTAAATAGTTTGCACTATTTGCACGTACCACATCACACAATACGCGCTGCGACTCGTCCGCCTGTCCGTCTGCGTCGCTGCCTTTTCGCTGCGCGATGGCCTCCTGCCGGGTATACGAGGTTTTCTTATCATTTCCTTTAGGGCTATCTTGTAACCCTTGTGAAATATCCTAATTTCTATCTCTAATGTGGTCATTCAATTACTGCACATATTCTGACTCACTGAGGTTCTTCAGAGCAATGTCAGCGTAACAGTAGTGCGTCTTATATGGCGCAATCAAATCTCTACATTCGACGTAGGAGCCCGAGCTGACCGTCGTCATCTCCAAATGCAGCCGGCCAACTGACCGAATGAATCCAGCTCTGAAAGAGTTCTCTTGCGATTTTCCATCTCAAGAGGGCATTCGCAGCAACAGGATTGTTTACGGGTCGTGTTATCAGTTCTGAACATTGACCAGTGACCAGGGAAAGAGCAATGAGCATTTGCAGCCTATGATGTGCCATCATACTCGAGAGAAACGCGATTTCTGTGCTTGATAACATTGAACTGAATATGCTTTTTAATGTACTTCTCAATATACGTTAGTCACTAGCTTTGGAGGGACACGGTGCACATTTTACGGAACTGGCATCCTTTCGGGGGTATTGGATCAAGGCTCTAATGCTGGAATACCACAGCAACGTGTAGCTTCAGAACGGCTGGTGAATCCATCCAGAAACCTTACCGTCACAAACAGACTAGGCTTGAGCGACGGCCCCCCCCCCCCCTACCACGATAGGAAAGGGGTAACTCCATTCATTGGTTTAGTGAGAAGCAGAGCTCTGTTTTCTTGCACTTCCATCTTATCTGATTTGATAGCGGTTTGTCCCTCTCACTGCTGCAAAAGGCGATCACAAATTGCTCAAATTCTCACCAGATAGAAAGGAAGAAAAGAAGGAAATTCTTAGTAAATAGCAAATTGTTGAGAAAAACGCTGATCTGCATGTGATCCTAAGAGTATACTTGGGGTATCTTTCGATATAGAGCGGCAAGACGTGCAGAGATGCTTCAGAAAGGAAAGAGTGACTTTTCTCACTTGTGATATAACATGTATTTAAAAATGCGCACAGCCAAATCTTATTGGTTCAATTTGGAAAGACATATATTCACACGATAATGCGCAACTTCTTCCCGAGCATACTGAGGATAAATACCTTGGAATGGAATATATTGACAACAGCGTACGGGTTGGAATTCCATGGTGGAGTCTCATTAATGGAGAACGCTATACTCCAATGAGGACAACGTTCTCAACGTTGGCTCACTTAAAAGATCGCTTGAGACGCTTGAAGACACATCCTTTCATTCTAAGGAATTAAACGACTGCTAGGGGAAGGCGAACGGTTCATGTACGCAAGGTTACAACTGCCTTTGCGGGGCGAAGTCGTAAGTAGCCTAACTAGGCCCGATGTCGTCTTTGACCCAGCCCTCACCCGTTACTCCACTTTCAATCGGATGCTTCATTTGACATCATGCAGGGTGTGTGCTTCTCGCCGCTATACTCTCTACTCCAAGTCTGCTCCGCCGTCCGAATCTAAGTGACAGAACCACTTCCAATGGAAGGAGGTCCCATGCTCAGCATGTGTCTGAGATTTCTTCGAATTTATCTTTTCCAGTTGCGGACTATGAAAAGCTACAAGTTCATTTTTTTAACCTGCTACCCATTGGAGGGGATGGAGGGAGATTCTCGAAGGCCGTACGCAGTATTGCAATAGGATCCTGCTTCTGTCAGAAGAAGGAGACCAAGAAAGTCGGCAGATGTGGCGTTTCAAAAAACGGTCGAAGACAAGGTTTCGACAAGAGTTAGCAAAAATTATCGTATAGGTATTTTCAAGACGACCTCAGGCACCCATCTTCGAGCTTGAGCCTGGGAAACTATTAACTTAACATGAATATTGGTTACGAGCAAAACTTTTGACTCAGGCGGGACTCGAACCTCGGAAGTTTTGTTTGCAGCCCAGTCTTCCTATGGAACGCGACCCTCAGCGTTAAAACAGCAATAACAAACTATCACTAGCAAAAAGAAAAGATGTATTGAGGGCTCACGTTTGATTGCGAACATGTTCTCGTCGAGAACCTTCTTCTGCTCATCAGTGCATCCACCTTGAGCCACACACGACGTCACGGTTGCAGTGAATCGAGCAAGGCTCGCACTAAAAATGGCCATGTCTGCCACACATTGCGGCGATACTCCAGATGACGAGAGCTCATTGAAGTCGTTGAATTCGGACAGGCGCTGCAATTGTATAGGTCACTCATGCTAGGTACAACAATATGATAGACGAATTCGTTGATCAATTCATGCAAGAAGCCCTCAGAATTGAATGCCATTCGAAAGCGCCAAAATCCCTCAAAGAGCAGACCACACACCGCGCTCTACCGAGTTCAATCCCTTCTTAGGTTAAAGAGTTCTGTTAAAAACCCCGGTGTCAAATAATCGACACCATGCAGAGGGGTTGGGGAAGACCGACACTGGTACTGCCACTTTCTAGGTAATCTAACTAAATCTTTCATTTCCGTATTTACACACTCAAATAAGTGCTAAATGCGATTGCCTTACCGTTATATGACATGCAGTCATTTCCGTGTCGACATACTGCTAAGACTGGTAGTTTAGGTAAATTACATTATTTCGCGACTACGAAGCGAGTAAGAGTAGGGCTTCTCATCAAATATCGTGGTTCCTTTAGCACGAAAGTCGGTTATCCTTATAGGTTTTGAGCTGGGACGAGAACATGGTTCAGATTTTGATGCCTCCTCAATGATGTAAAGGTTATGACCAACTCAAGCGCCATTCTCTTTCAATAAAATACCTAAAGGGAATAACTGGACTCATCGGCATTCCATATCAAAGTGGTACGGTATATTCCTGTTGGGGGTTCAGAATGTTCTGCACACTTAATGCTTTTAGAAATGAGCATGTTTTGAGCCCTATTTGAAATTCGTTATCGACTCACCTTTGTGAACTCTGAGGCGTTTACTCTCAACAAGACAACAGTTAAGAAAAAGAATACAGTAGGCGACATAAGAGTGTGTGTGTGATTAGTGATGTGACGATATTTATAGGTGTAGCGGCTAACGCCGTCGGAAGTTCGCGTGCCGTCTGTGACTGATTGCGCTTATCGCTTTCTAGTTTGTGTTAGCTTCATTTCGGCCAGTGACTCTCAACGGAATAATCCCACGCA